AGCATAAAAAAGACATTCTTTCCTAAACCGGTTGGTACGTTTCAGTGTGGTGCCTGTAATCACAGTGCCCATATTAATAAACATGCATCCTTTAAAGACTCTTTAGGGTTAAAAAAAACTACATGTCGTTATTACCTGGTCCCCGAAGGGTTGACCAGGTTTTGTATTCACCCTGTGTGTCTGTGTGTGCGTACCTGTGTGTCTGTCCACGCAATAATTCCGCCATTTATGGACCGATTGTCAACAAATTGGTACGTGGGTCAAGCCCCCAATGCCGGAAAAAAAAAAAAAAAAAGTTTTGTCACGATCTGAGGTCATTTGAGGTCACACAGGTCAATTGAAAGGTCACGCCATTATAAAGGATAGGTTATTTCGGCAATTTCTGAACCATCTGTGGGCTAAAATATTCACCCAATCATCACACAAGTTGGCACACACATAACCAGGGTACACTGGATGTTACAGGTTGAAACCGGTCCAGGTCACTTGAAGGTTAAGGTAACCAAGGTCAAATATGCGTTTTTGGTCATAACGCCACGAAGGATCGAGCTAGAGCAACGGGAGTGGCCTCAAAATCTCAGAAAAATTATTATCTATTTATAATCCTATGCATTTGTAGTTATAGTTTTCGAGATAATCACTAATTATAACAGTTCCTTTCTCTTTCATGAACTGCCCCCACTGATGCCTCATGGGGGACCAGGTTGCTATCTCTGAATGTGCTTGTTTTGCAAATTGTAATACTACACATGTGGTCTATCAGTTGGTGCTTGTACATACGGTGGACAAAACAGAGACTCAAGGATCGCTTTTGTAAACATAAAAACACCATTTGAGGTAAAAATACCAATTTCCTAGTAGTCCTACATTTTCAATCCTCCACTCAATGCAAAGTCAACCTTTTAAAAGTCATGGTAATTGAGGAAGTCCCTCCAAACATCAGAGGGGGCGATAGACTCAAAAAGAAACCTTCTGGATTGTAACCACACAACATCCAGGCCTTAATGATGATTTGGATTATTCAATGTTCCTCTGAAACTTAACTTGCTTGGTAATTTTTTTAATGTAGATGATGTTTCTGACCTGTGGTATCTAATTGTATATTTATTATTTGACTTGAATTTAACTTGGACCTATGGGCCTGTGACTCAAGACTCGACTTGGACTTGCCTGTATTTGACTTGGGACTTGTCTCGCACTTGAGGTCAAAGACTTGAGACTTACTTGAGACTTGCAAAACGATGACTTGGTCCCACCTCTGGCATATGGAGTTTAGAAACACAGTGGAGCTCTCCCTGTATTACATGTTTTAGAGAAGAACTCAGCCAAAATATGTAGAATTTCTGTGAATGAAATAAAACAAAACACAACTATGGGTAAGTAGATGAGGAAACAATGTTATAACATAGATCAGAAAATAATAATATGGGCACTTTAACTTTTTATTTCCAACTTTTCTTTGCAAACTACCATTGGACTGATGTAAAACTATGATAAATATTCACCAACTGCACAAAACATGAAAACCTGTTATGGAGATAAGCAGTGTTCGTTTCCCCATAGTCATTATAGGTGAGTGAGTGAAAAGATTTATTATTGCATATGTGATGGACACACTGACTTATCTCCAACATGTCCTGTTTATCTGTTTTCTGCTGTTCGGTGGGTCTGCTCATCATCTTTATATTCCTCATGATTGGCCAACCTTTTTTTGTTTTTTGTGTCTTTTTCCTATAGTCATGTAATGTGGTCATGTGATTGATATGTAATTGTATTTAAGTTTAGTGCCTGTGTGTCCTGTTTTACCATTATGCCCTGACGAGGACCATCTTGCTGTTTGAAACGCGTTGACGTCCCTTCATTCAATAAAGGACTTCTGATATATTCAGTCGGAGTGCCGTGCCCACTTTTACATTTTTCAGTAAGGGCAACATTCTGTTAAGATATGTGGCGTTGTGTTGTGTTTCATTTGCACATTTTAACACACAAACCCAGCATATTTAATCATTTAGTAATACAGGAAGTGTTTTTTAAACTCCAAACACCTTCACTAGAATCATATGGAATATTTTAGACCTGGAATTACCCATCTCTACTGAGCTAAAAATAAACTTTAAAACTACAGCTTCATGACATCACAAGGTGGAAAGGAGCATTTTGAGCTTTAGAGATGTAGATAGACTGATAATAAAGGGTTATAAACACGTGTGAATGAAACAAAACACAACTCTGGGTATGTTTTAGATGAGGTAACATTAGAACAAGGCCTAAAGGTAAACACTGTGTAAGTTTTCTCCATCTGCTTGTCTTCATCAAAATGCTCCACAGCATTAAACTTCTGGATCTCCATAAAGACAAATATGTGACAGCAGCAGGCAAACTTACATGTCAGATCTGTTGAGAGGGAACCCACTCACAGTACACAAGCAGGCTTTTTTAAGTATTTCTGAGCAATAAAAACACCTCTAAGTGAATTAGTGCAAGAGATAGATATCTGTAATGCCATACTGTGGAACATTTTGGGCAACGCTGTAACATCTTCATGGAGGCAAATAAGTGGGGACCGTCCACCATAAAAGTTGCACACTGCACCTTTAAAGCTCACAAGAGTCAGTTTTGCGTAATATAGGAAGTTTAATGTTGTTTGATTTCAGTATAAACCTAAACTAAAACTGTTACGTGTTTGAGAGCCTAACCCTGTAAATTTCCACAATACAATTATATAATATATCGCATGCATCGTTAAATGAGGAAGCTTCGGTGAAGTGTTTTACAGGTGATGTTCAGTAACTTTCGTCACTTCTTCATAGCTGACATTGCAAGTATGTTTTGATATCAGGACTACTATCTTAGAGACGGCACCAGACCGTCAAAAGACTTTGTTAGTTACAATGTGAAACAATAGGGGCAGACAAAGCACAGGTCTCTGAGACTCTTACACTGCAAATGGTGCATGGGGTTTAACCTTCTATATTTAAATCTAGTTCAGATTTGCAGATATGTTATTCGTCTATGTTAAAGCAACATGACGTAACTGTCTGTAAGAGGTATGTAACTTCCATGATTCCATGTAAATAGAAAGTTAAAAGGAGATGCATAAGTGCAAATGAATATATTATTATTTTCTAAAGCCCAATTTAATGCAACACTCTGTAACTTTCTTGAGGTGGCACGTCACCTGCATTTGCATTTGCATTTCCGTGGAAAAAGAGTTAAAGTTAAAACCACACTTCTGGAACATTCTTCATTGTTCTAGTCAAAGGAACAACATTTCCATGAGGCCCTCCTCCAGGCCAAGTAAGGGCCAGCTCACAGTAAGGATGCATGTTTCTCGAGGACTATAAAAACATGCTTTTATTTTTTGGACAAAAATAGTGGGTCTTTAAAGAGACTGTGTGCAACTTTTTAGTCAAAGAAAGCAAAAATGAATGTACACTACCGGTCAAAAGTTTTAGTTTAGTTTTAGTTTCTTACTGTTTACTGTTGACCAAAACATATTCTAAACTTTTTGATTCATGAAAGTGTCCACCTTTGGCAGATAAAACAGCTGAACACACTCGTGGCTCTTTCTTTTAACAATAGAAATCAAATATTCTATAAAAGTTCTTCCCAAGTCTGTTGCAGAAGTTCCCATAAATGTGTGGCACTTGTGGATTTCTTCACTCTTCTGTCCAGTTCATCCCAAACCAGCTCAATGGAGTTTCAGTCTGGAGACTGTGCTGGACACTCCATGTTTTCAAGCTCACATCCTGTTCTTTTTTCCTGAGGTAGTTTTGGCAGAGCTTGGATCTTTTTTTAACCTCTGGCTGTTCAGTTCTTACCTTTGTACCATTTTAAGCTCTTCACTGGACTTGCATGAGTGGAATTGCAATAAATAACTGGAAAAATTAGGGTGTTCTAGAATTGTTGACCAGCACTGTATGTTGATGTTTTTTGCGCTGAAAATGTAGAAAAAACATGTATTCCGTGAGAGGGCTTAGCATCTCCATAAACCTGGCCTGGAGTAGGACCTTCTTCTGCTGGGTTCCATGGAAATGTTATTCCTTTTGTCATAATGGAGAACGTTCTAAAAGTATGGTTTTTACTTTCTATTTCCATGGAACTACACAGGTGAGATGCCACTTCCAGAAACTTACATCATGTTGCTTTAGTGAACAATACTTAATTTGTAAAAACAGATAAGTCCTCTTCATAACAAAAATAAAAGAGGTTTGAATTTTAGCCTTTCGATGTGAATATTTTTTTGATTTCTGAAGATTATGAACCCCTGCTCTTTCTTACATACACTGCCCTACAAAGGCAAAAGACGTTAACTCGCCAGAGTGTGAAACTGAAAAAAAAAATTACTTCAAAGTTTCTGTTTTGTGCAGACTAAAGTATAATATGCAAGGCTCTCAAAATTTGACAACTAGCTGCTAATGAAGAAATATTTGTATGCGAAAAATATTGAGCTCAAAATTGACCTTTGACTTTTGTACCATGAGTCAAAAATAAGGAGTCGTGCAAAAGCAAAAGGCAGAAACTGACATGATCATGATGTGCTTGTTTTTCACCAAACTTCCATCCATTATAAGAACACCTCACCAAGTTCGAGTCATCATGGTGTTTGTTTGAAATGATATAGAAGAGCTTTGGATTTCCTGTTTAGTGCTGATTGGGATCGTGATCGTGCAGCAAAACTAAACTAAACAGCTGGACCGACAAGTGACTTTGCAGTATAGTGTGTACAGCATGAATAAATACACAAAATACTGTCACATTAAAGATAATTTAAGTATAATTGAAAACAAAAGTATATTTATTTAAAGTGTTAAGAACCTGTGCCAAAGCTGCAACAAAAAGGAGGTGAGAGGTTGGATTTTAAAACAAAATTTTATTCATTACCTTCATATATTCAACTAAAACACAAACAAAACACTGTACACTGTTACTGCCTTTTGCCTTTGCACGACTCCTTATTTTTGACTCATGATACAAAGGCAGAGGACAGGATCTGCCAAATAAGTGTCAAAGGTTAATTTTGTGCTTAATATTTTATATATTTTTTCACAATATTTATTCACATGATAAAGGAGGTCTCAAATACAAAGAAAATTACATTAACTTAGTTTTGACCAAACATGATGTTACAGCGTTCTGACTTTGTCGGGCAGTATAGTTCCCTGCTGACACATGACCTATGTAGGCACAGCAGCCCTGGGGCAAAAAGACTTGGCTGCCATGGCTGCAGCAGAAGTCCACTTCCTGTTTCCTGTCAATGACGAACAACCAGCAGCTGCGAGCCTCGATCTGAGCCAACTCTATTTATGTCGTCTGCTGCCTCCAGATAACACCGCCTCATCCACCTCGAACACACAGCAACTGAGGGAAGGGAAGGTACACACTGTTGCCCCTGTAGGAATATTTGTCCTCTGCATTTGATCCATAAAAAATAACACGTACACAAAAAATACTCTACTTCAGCACAAAGTTTTAAGGTCCTATATTGTGTAAAATTCTTGTTATAACATTGTTCCCTCTTCAAAAACAGACCAGGATTTGTGGTTTGTTTCATTCACACATGTTGGAGTAATGTTTTATCATTAGACTGTCTACATCTCCTTTTACTTTGACAAGAGATTTAGAGATTAACAATTCCAGTTCTGCAGTTCTAGTGAAGGCGTTTGGCAGAGGTGGGACTTGCAAGTCTTGGACTCGAGTCAGACTTGGTTCACTATTTTTAGGACTTGAGACTTGATTTGATAAAATGGACTAAGACTTGGGACTCGACTTGGACTTGAAGGTCAGTGACTCGGGACTTAGAAATTTGAGAAGACTTGAGAAGACATGAGAGGCACTTTTTAAATCTGAATTTGTTCTATTCTGACTGTGAAATGTTTGGTCAAGACATTTAAAAAGGAATAAAATGCATTTCTTCAACTCTTATATACTCTATAAATACTCATATATAAATATACTATGACTTTTTAAGTACAATTTATCTTAAAATTGATATAAATTGCAAAAATCTAAGCTATATTTGGTATTTTGGTTTAAAGACTTGAAATGACTTGAAGCTCAAAGCAGACGACTTGGACTTGACTTGAACTTATGGGCCTGTGACTCGAGACTCGACTTGGATTGGCTGTCTTTGACTTGCGACTTGGGACTCGAGGGACACAGTGGAGCACCTCCTGTATTATCACATGTTTTAGAAAAGAACTCAGCCAAAATATGTAGAATTTCTCTGAATGAAATAAAACAAAACACAACTCTGCGTAAGTAGATGAGGAAACAACATTATAACATAGATCAAAAAAAAAAATATGGGCACTTCAACTTTTTATTTTATTTTTTCTTCGCAAACTACCATTGGACTGATGCAAAACTATGATAAATATTCACCAACTAAGTCAAATTTTGGACAAAACATGAAAACCTGTTATGGAGATAAGCTGTGTTCATTTCCCCATAGTCAGTGTGGGTGAGTGAGTGAATGGTCCACTTGATCTGGTGAAACATAATCCGTGAGCACGTAAGAGGCACATATCAGATTCTGAGCTGCAGGTTTCTCTTCCGTATTAAATAACACTTCGGACACATTATTTACAACATGCAGAGTCAGAGGCTGTATATATGCCAAACGTCAATATGAAAGCGGAGATCAAATGGGGATGATGTGCAAATAATTTTAACATATTTATAATAAAGTGAAAGTTAAATAATGTGACGTAGGAATAAACATAACTAGCCCTAAACAAAAAACGCAAATAGGTCCAACACTATTCTTTTTCCTTTGCCTGGTCAAACCAAAATCAATGCTTTATCAAGTTTGATTTTATTCTTTCCACTGAGTCACTAAAATAAAGAAATGTGAATGGTGGAATACAGGCAGATGTCTGGTGGCAAATCTGATTATTGGCACTCTTTATTCCGTATATTTACTGTACTGTTACACTCAACGTGACCCCTTGTCCTAACTGAGATTCACAGCCAGCCAGTGTTGGGAAATAACAGATTACATGTACCGGAGTTATGTAATCAGAGTACAAATTATGGGTAACTGTATTCACAGTTACTGTTTCAGTGAGTGGTAATTGGATTACAGTTACTTTGTTGAAATAAATGGATTACACGGCGGTATTTTCCTGTTTTCACATTTGGGCTATACTAACCCCCCCCCCCCCCCCCCCCTTTTTTTCTTTTTTGGTAATTCCACTCATTGCCGGAAACTAAACCAGGTCTAAACTAGATCTATACCAGCTCTAAACCAGGACTAAACCAGGATTAAACCAGGTCTAAAACAGGTCTAAAATAGGACTAAACCAGGACTAAACAGGACTAAACCAGGACTAAAATAGGACTAAACCAGGACTAAACCAGGACTAAAACAGGATTTAACAGGGCTAAACCATGCTGTGTGGACCGTGTCTCCTCCTCTTCTATCAATAATATTTTTAATTTGGTTAAGTAAAGTCTGGGCTTTTTATTTTCTTTTAGCAGACAAAACATCTTATGTTACGATATCCTAGTCTTTGCTTCTCTACAGCAAATCAAGTAATCCAAAGTATTCAGATTACATTACTCACCTTAAGTACTTTAATGGATTCCATTACAAACTACATTTTGGGGTATGTAATCTGTAATCTGTAATCTGTAGGGGAATACATTTTAAAAGTCACCTTCTCAACACTGCAGCCAGCTAAACTCTCTCTTGCATCACTTCCTCCAAGGAACAGGCAGGTGTTGTCTTTGACCAGGATTTAATGCAAAAAAGTGTTAAACTGTAACAAAATACAAAAAAAGTATTCAGAAGGCTGTAAAATAAATTCTGTACATCAAAGCTACTATCCAGAGAACCAAATGGTTAATGCTATCTGAAAAGTAACCACTACATCTCAAAATATGTCTATAAATTGCCACAAACTTTAACAAAGTGCTCCAAATATACTGGTTAACATTCATTTTTAACATAAACTTACTCATATTGCCGCTCAAAGGGCTGGAAATGAGGAGATGGCTTCAAATAGAACAATAAAACACATGTGGATTGATTGACATTATCAAGCTAGTTGTTTTTCTTCTGGTCACCTACTGGCTAAATATATTATCAAAATCGCAACTAGCGCCCCCTAGCAGGCTGGAAAAACACAATACAAAACAGTTCCAATACATTTACATTAGAAAATAAAAACCTTCCTGTAACAAACATACATCCACAAGGCTCAGTATATACTGTAGTTCAAACTTAATGTTAACATTGCAAAAAGACAAAAAAAACTGTCAAAAACATTACAATATAATTTATTCTTAGTTGATCTTAATACAGACTTAATGAATAATGAACTGATGGCTTATTAAGTGTGATTCAGGATTAGTAAATATTTAATAAATACCCTAGCTCTAACTCCTTAATTAAAAGTGCACTATGTAACTGTGCTTCTCCTATTTTTTGAATAAATGGAAAATAGAATAATTAATGCATACAGGCCATACAGTAACAGAAAAGTTACACAGTGCACCTTTATATCATTACTAAGTCTGAAAAATCCTTAATGAACCATTTGCTCTTTGTTAGAGGCTGTTTGCAAAATTTATTCATTTGAGCTTTCAGTCATGTTTCAGTCAATAATGAATAATATGAATAATGTAATTCATTTGCAGCATTCTCAGAGCAGTTCTCACTTCTCACATGTTCACAAACACACACAGTGTGTCAGTCCATTACAGACCACAAATGAAACTCAATAACAATGTACATATTACAGTGCAAAACATTCAGAAAACTCTACCCTTAGAATTAAGCAATTTAATAGCAGACAGCACAAAAGAATTCGAGAACCGGAGCATAAAACTGACACCCTGAAAGCATCATGATAAAGTCAGGAGCCAGAGGATGGAGGGGCTGAGCCAGGGGACACTTGGCTTTGCTCAGCACTCGCTCCTCCCACAGAGAATGCAGCTCCCTCAGTTTGACCCCTGTGATTTTTGAGCAGGTTCTGCAGTTTGTTTTTATCCATCAAGGACGAGGATTGAAACTAGCATATAAAAGAACATTAAGCAGACTTTTGATAAAAGAACATTAAAAATTGTTGAGAATCGTTTTGTTTACATTAAAAGAGTTCAGTTTTCTCAACAGATACACTCTTTGCTGCCCTCAGTCATTTGACAATGCTTTCAGTGTTTAAGTCAAATTTCAATTTATTGTCCTTCACGGTCCCCAGATATTTGTAACTATCGACAATTTCAACATCATCACAATGGATGACACTAACACTGTGGGAAGGTGCACGTCTAAAATCAATCACCATGTTCTTAGTTTTAGCAACGTTCAAATCAAGGTAGTTGTCCTCAAATCACTGGACAAACTGCCTCAGCGCAGGGATATGATTTACCTCAGATCCTGAACATAGTGACACCAGGACTGTGTCATCCGAGAATTTGATTAGGAATCTACCCTAACTCCTAAATATGCAGGATTTGTTTGTTGTGAATGAAAAAACACAACTCCAGGTGTAGAAAAGAGCATATTATGGACCCTTTAATAAACTATTTGTACACATGAATTAAGTCTTTGTTAAGATACTGTTACTGTAAAGCTGTAGAGCTGTTTGCTGATTTTAACATCCGTGGTGACAGTGCTAACAGAGTCTGATCCTCCATTTAACCTCTGCGTGCATGAGACCAGCTACGTTTATGAATGAGCCTGAAGACAACCCCCAAAGCCTATGAATAACATCCTATAGATAGACTTACACACACACTATATATACACACTTGTTTAATTGGTGTTAATAATTAAGTTTTATGTGGAGTTTAATGGAGTATCTTTGCACTTCCTAATACCGCTCTTAGCACCGTCTGGTCCAGTGCCCTGTTTACCTTCTATTACCAGCTGTATGATGAAACCTAAGCCCAGAGGGGTGACCCGTGTCAGGGAAAGACGATCGGCGCTGTGGCCCGGGATGGCTAGCATAGTTTCCGTCATCACACTAACAGTTTGAGCTGCCTGCTTCGGAGATAGAGGCAGCGCGCAGCGGACAGCAACGGACAATGACTTTATTTATGCACTATTTTTGTTTTTCTTGAAGAATTCGGAGAGATTACAAAGCAGAGATGGCAGACGGGGAGGCAAATCCGCAAAAGAAAACGTACACCAACAAGAATATTAAGAAACTAAGAGTGGCGAGCATGGTTTGTAGCTTGACCAGCAGCTGGCAGAAGTGGGTGACGGACAATGAGACCAAGCAAGCCAGTGAGCCGAGTGGGTGGTCGCCCTCTTGGATGGGAGATTCGGATAAGGAACCGAAAAAAACGTGGAAGCCCAAGAAGATTACGAAAACGCAGTCAAAAGAAGATGTCAAGAAGCAAGATAATAGAGGGGAGAATGTTCCACCAGCTGAAAAACCGATGAATGAAGAACCTAAAAAGATATGGACACCCGAGAAGATCACTCAAAATCAGTCAGGAGATGTCAAGAAGCAAGATAATGCTGTGGACAATGTTTTACCAGATGAAAAACCGATGAATGAGGAACCAAAAAAGACATGGACGATCAAGGAGTTCGCTCAAAATCAGTCAGAAGATGTCAAAGAGCAAGATAATGCTGTGGACAGTGTTTTCTCAGCTGAAAACCTGATGAATGAGGAACCTACAACGACATGGACACCTGAGAAGATCACTCAAAATCAGTCAGGAGAAGATGTCAAGGAACAAGACAATTATTTGGATGTTATACCAACTGAAAAATTGACTGAGGAGGATGATAATATTTCAGAGCCAGTTGTCGCGAGTCCAATCAAAACTAAACAAGTGGCAAAGACTATTAAAACTGTCGCCAAGGAGAAAAGTATCGGGATAGGAGTTTTGACTGAAAAAATCACTAAAGAATCGTTGCCGTCGAATGAGGAGATTGACAGACTTTTAAAGAAAAAAAGTTCACCGACTCGGAGAAGGAAATGCTCCAATATGGTGTCATCTTTAACCAAGAGCTGGAAACAGGTGGAGAGGACGGCCACGGAAGGGACGGGGGCCAGAGATAGAGAGATTCTGAATACGGAAATACATAAAGAACAGGCTCAAGTGGATGGTAAAAGAAAAGATTTGAATGATGGAACGCAGAAAGAAGAAGAGGAGGAGGAAGAGGAGTCAGCTGTGATGATCAAGAGACCATCCATGTCATTGTAAGTGTTCAGTGAGGGAATCAAAATTATTTTTTACAATAGGCAAGAAAACGAATGGTGCAGGTAAGTAAAAGTAAAAGTGAAAGTAGTTAAAGAGTGCGTATACATGCACATCAGTATCCCAGGTATGATCGGGTTTTTTGAGTATCCCGGTTTCTTCATGGTGCATGTACACACAGTATCCCGGTTTCTAATGACTAATTTACTGTAGCTGGTATATTCCGATAGTAACCTGGATACTGTGGCATGTATACGCAGTATCCCGGTTACTACAGCATAAAGTTTGAGTGCCATGCGTCCAAAAGACAAACACTTTCCAGTCTTTTCACCGCAACAGTAGCGACATAAATAAAGTGACCATACATCAGTAAAATGAGTGTAAAATTAAAGCTGCGCTAAACCTGCACACGTACAATCTGCACTCGTATGACCTGCACGTGTATGATCGCTGAAAAGCTAAAACATGAAACTATCTCCTATATGATATACACACAGAACACACTCACCACCATCATTAGCACCTCTTCTGTCACAAAAAGAACACACATAATCCACTAAGTCGTGTCGTTTAGTCCGAAAGAAGCTGAACGCATCACAAGGAGAGGTGTTTTTATCAGCGCTAACAGTTTATGCACATGAGCCATGCGGTTTTAAGTTTCATTTCTGTAAAAAGTAAACAAATGTGATCAAAGCTAAATTATATTATCAGACAGACTGATGTGGCTCTGTAGTGGTTATGGTTTATATGTTGTAAAGTTAAGTTTATTTGTGCAGAAGATTTTAATGAAGAATCGGTTCAGTTTGATCTGTGCAGTGGATTGTGGGATACCTCATAGTTTCTTACTGCTGGTTAAACCTCCCGAGCTTCCTCTGCTAAAGGAGCTCATGGTTTGTATTTTTCCTGGTTTATTGAATTGATTCAAGTTAATTTTTACGCTTGAGCATTTGTAAGATTATGTCAAGAAACCAGGATACTCCATTTGATCATGTACACGGGGATATGAGTGTCCCGATTTCGCATGTATACACAGTATCCTGAATACTGACATAACCGGGATATGACTAATAACCTGGATACTGATGTGCATGTATACGCACTCAAAGTAAAAGCAGTAGTAGTAAAGTCGTTAAAAATGCACTGTGTAACATATCCGGTGTATTTAAAGACGAGGTATTTTACTTTGGGATATTAAAGAGCCATGCTAGAATGTTGTTACCTCATCAAACACATACCCGGAGTTCTGTTTTGTTTCATTCACACATGTCTGAGTAATCCTGCATTATTAGTCTAGCTACATCTCGAAAGCTCAAAATGCTCTGTTCCACCTTGTGATGTCATGAAGCTGTAGTTTTCAAGTTATTTGAGTTTTTGATGAGGAAAAGAACATCATAAAATAGATCAGAAAATGGAATAATATGAGCCTTTTAACTGCTTATGAACATATTTTAATATATTTCTGTTAAGTTTTCTATGCTCTGTCTCTCCCCTCCCTTTGCTCTCAACGCTAAGTCACTCCCCTTTCAGAGTACTATCACACACACACATCACATTTACACATTTTTGAATCATGTTTTCTATATTCATGGAGAATTGTTGTGTGGGAAACATGGGTAACGTAGACTTGTGGATAGAATCTTGCAGCTAACCGGAAGTAGGGTTCCAATAGGGTCCATAAGAGATCGCTAAATTACTCATACATCTAAAACATAACATCTAAAACCACTTCTGGCATGTCTTTGATGAGGGAACAACATTATAACTTGGTAAAAAACTATAAATAAATCAAGGTTTGCACAATAATCCCTCATGGACATGTTATTGCTTTGTCTGGAATGTTCCACTGCATGGCATTAAATTTGTAGTTCTTCAGTTATATGTGTTTTTATTGTTCAAAAATGGCTTCAAAAACATGTATTCCTACTTGGACTTTAAGGGTCATTACAGATGAATTGACTGCTGCTTAAATCACAAACAGATCAAAGTGTGACTCTTGATCTCTGATTTTTTTCATTTATTTATTTATTTTTTTATATAACAGCCGATCAGCAGATTTAGCTTCAACAATTTGTATACGTGAGCAAAGTCACATCTCAGCAGATCTGACTTGTATACAATAGATAAAGTAAGTGCTCGTGTCATCTCATTGGAAACAAGTCAACCTTCAAGCACCTTTATTGAAGAACTTAAGTCTGATAAAGTTGTTTTGATAATAACTGGTATAAGTAGTGTTTAAAAGCTCTGTCACTCAGTTTAGATTTTAATCAGAGTTTTCTTTTAATAATATGCCCATAAAGATTTTAATTTAAAACTAAAACAAGTGAGCTGATGTTGAGTTACAGCTAGTATTAGTCAACAGTTTTTCACCTTTTGTGTTGAAAATCAAACCCCTAAACAGGACCATGAACGCTCATATTGATCACAGGCTCCTTGAGTTTTCACACTGTCTTAAAACTTTTTGGACTATGTGTGCTAATCTATACATTGTGTCTCCATGGTAACTGAACATTCCATCATAGAGATACATGTAGAACACCCCCAGCATGATGACACTGCAAAATATCAATGCAATTATTCCTGAATACGAGTAGTACGAATAGTAGGGATCTAAGGAAAACCAGACCCAGAAAACCAGAGGGGTCATTCCACGCCATTTCATCAAATTTCCAGAAAATCTCACGCTTCATTTTTTTTTTATTTAGAAAAAATTACAAGCTGGTCGCTTGCTATCATGTAACAACCCTGTGCAACAACCCAAAATGCGTGTCATTTTTTCTCGGCCGTTTTCACAGGTCGTTATCTCCGTAAGTATCACACATACAGGGCTGAAATTTTGTAGGCTTGTACTCCTCTACTCTGTGTTCAAATAACATCTGTCGAAAGGTTGGTATCTCAACTCATTGTCATTTTATATGAACTTAAATATGAAAAAAAAAAAACTTGTTCATTTCCGTGGTGTACCATTTTTAGATAGAAAATGACTAAAACTTCACAGGGTTGGTACATGATAGTAAGGGACTATTTGGTAATTTTTTTCAAATTTTTTTTGAGATCGAAGTGCTTGGGCCATGTGTTGAAATAACATGGAATGACCCAGAGGCAAAATATGTGACAGTATAATTAATTGTATTTAATTAATGGTCTACTAAAATGATATTTGAGTAGCCTTATATTCTATCTTACAAACCATTTTGACCGTCACCGTCTAATGAATTCTTCTTGATCAGAGAATCCAGGAAACACCATTTACTGTAAGCTCCTGCTGTGGCTGTCAACACATACACCTATAAATGAAAATGAAAAATGTAACCCTGTCAATCCCCTGTCTTTTTGCATTGTGCTGAATATTTTCTTTGGCAGCACACAGTTTAAAATTATGCTGACATGTTGCTTACCGGAAAATCAAAACTGGAGTTGCTTTCATTATTTGATTGATAATACTTGATAGTTTATTAGGTAACAAGATAGTTTTTTTTGTTTTTTTTAGCTACTAACTTAACCGTAAGAACATGTTTTATGTGCTGAATATTAACCCTTGTATTGTGTTAGAAAGCTACACGCATCTTTAGTGTTACCGGGTCAAATTTTGACCCATGATTTAACTCAGCCTGAAAATACTTAAAAACACTAGATATCATCCAATATTGTTTTTCCCCTCATAACTAACTTAGTATGTGTTCATGTCCATGGAAACATTTTTATTTTTTTTATTTTTTTTTTGGCTGCACAGACCTTTTATCTTAAAATATACACTCGTTTTTTGATTACAAAAACTGCTTAAATTCACTAATTATATTTCCTATAGTGATACAATTTGAATTATTTATATAATTATACTATAATCATAATAATTTTATATATAATACATATAATATGAATCTAATTTATATAAGTATAATTATATTGGGTGTGAAGAGGCTTGGTGACCATGAACTGTCACTTTTTCTTGACTTGAAGACGTCTCTTTCAGTCTTTGTGACATCTGGGTTCTCCTCACCACATGTGTGCTCTTGTTCAGGGTCATACTGAACCTCATCCTCATCCACAGACGTTATATGAATGGACATAACTAAGGCTGTAGCCACCGCGTTCCAAATAGAAAGTTCTCCAGGAGGCTCTTCCGGCTCCTTCTGACTCTGGCTCCAATTGACTTATGTTAGGATCTTGTCGTCTTCTCTCTGTACCTGCTGCTGTGAACCTCGTCATTTTGGTCTTAAAATATACGTATTAACCTGCGACACATGATCCTGATTTTTTATTTTATTTTTTTTGGCTGTTTTGTCCGTCCAAAAAAATCCTATTCATAACATATAACCTGGCTCTAGATTCGCTCCTGTAACCGTGAGCTTCATTTGAGCGGCGCCAAACGCTGTGGGTGACGTCACACTCACTTAGTCCACTTCTTTTATTCAGTCTGTGCCCTCATCCTCATCCTCAGACACATCTTCCTCAGCTTCACTTTCCTCTCTGTCTTCAGAATCACTGTCATGACCAAAAATCTGATCCAGCGCCTCATAAACAGTGAACCTGCTCATGTTGACTGATGCAACAGATGCAGCTGATAATATCTCACTAAAACCCTGTTTATATATGACAATGTTTATTTTTGATTCAAAATGTATCAATGTGCTGCAAGAAAGAGAAGAGTTCACGTGGGTGAAGACGACCTTTGTGTGTGTGTGTGTGTGTGTGTGTTGTGGGACACACTGAGCCATATTTGATCACAGAGCAGCCTACAGCTTGTAAGTGATGCATAAAACAGCCACTATTCTCTGCCGGGTCATTTTTGACCCGTAACACCACAGATGTCACTTTTTTTTTTCAGACCTTTACAATTTACTAAAATGGTGAAAATTGATTTTGTTGCGTTAAAATAGTTGTGTCTGAGGATTAGATGAAGCTTCATTCCGGTACAAAAAAGCAAATGGCAGTTTTTACATACTAAACTTGAAAACGGGTCAATTTTGACCCTAACACAATATACACAATATAAGGGTTAAAAAATTATAAAAATGTGCAGCCATTACACTTAAAAACTAAAAAAATTCAAGGAGATATTTTTAAACTACAGTTATTATGCAACATATATTTAAAGGCACACTATGTAACTTTTTGGTTCTGGGTCCATCGCCTGCTTGTTTCTATGGATATGTCATAGCTCTGCCTGGAATGTTCCACACTATGACATTAAACATATCTATCATATAATTTAAAAATTACAGGTGGTTTTAAAGCTCAAAAATATTCAGAATATCTATCCTACATCTTGGTCTGGTTTGGTCTTGGTGAAGATTGAAAGGTTTAATGCCATACTGTGAAACATTCTAGACAAAGCAGTAACATTCACAGAGAAAAACTGACAAGCCCTCCATGTGAAAAGTTGCACAATGCACCTTTAAAGCATCTTTATTCTTCTGCATTCACGGAACCAATGACACATCCACTCCCACTGCTATTCACTTCATTATTTTCCCTGAAGGATGTAAAACGTATCCATATATGATTCAACAGCATTGCGAAACTATAACTGGCAGTGTGGCACAAAGACGAGGGGGAAGAAGTTTTGAACTAGAAGAAGTGAACTGTCCTTTTTCTGTTATTGAGTTGTTTTATATTGGTATAGTGTTTTAAGATGAATAAAAGGTGAAATAATATATGTGTGTTATAGATCTTAAAAGTGCACTGTGAAACTTTTGATAGAACAGGGGTGTCAAACTCATTTTAGTCCGGGGGCCGTATCCAACCTACTGTGATCCCCAAGGGGCCGGATCAGAAAACTCATGTCATATAAACCCCAAAAATAACAATAAGTTCAAATATTTGTGCAGAGAAACACAAATCTATTACACAAATCTTTTTTAAGCCAATGATGTTCATTATGTCTTCTTATATACTTTAACTTCTTAGGTTCTTTTTAAAGACAATGCAGTAAAGTAAAGTAAATCTTTTTTAATTGATGAACTCTTTCTTTTACAAAATATTATAATATTATGAACAACCTGAAACTTTAAGAAAAATGTAATTTCAACACAGTGTTTTAACATTAAATTGTATGTAAATAGGAATAAGTCAATTTTTTTTTTTGTTGTAAAATCCTGCACTTGGCTCCACTTTTCTCATGTTGTACATTTTTCTGAGGAGGATGTCACGGTCAACAGTCAAAACGATCGTCCTTTAAGAGCATTTGGAAAGAGACAAGTCTTCATTTGTGCTGCTCTGGTGGGAGGGGCCACGTACAGAGACGCTGGAGACGCTGCTGTGATAAACACCACAGAAAATTTACAACATTTTAAAAGAAAATATAATTAAAATATTTTAGTAGAAAATCAGCAGAGGGCCACATTAAAGGTCTTGGAGGGCCGGATCCGGCCCCCGGGCCTTATGTTTGACACCTGTGTGATAGAAAATGTGTATTATCATTATTCCTTTGTATTGCTGGGTTTCAGATGACATCACAACAATCTTTGGGCCTGTTATATTTAATACAGATGGGGGTTGGTAAAATTTATATTGTTAAAATTTATATTGTTAAAATACAGTGGGTTTTTGGGTCTAGTCACTTATAAAAAATGATACATGATTACTTATACCTATCGAGAAAAGCAGGTCACGTTACAAGTCACATTTGACCTAATGCTCAAGGGACATTCCTTTCAAAGCAATTACATAAAACCACACAGCGCTCCTTAATTATTACATGTCATATTACGCTGTTTTATGATCAATGTTATAATGTTTCCTCATCAAAAACATACCTGGAGTTGTGTTTTTTACTTAATTCACAAGTCCTGTTTATTTAGGCTGGGTTCTTTTCTCAAACAGTAAAAACTGTTCCACGTTGTGATGTCATGGGATAATACAGGAAGCCATGATACACTAGAATAGTTTGGATGATTTCAGTCCTGGAATTTCCAAACTCTGTTGAACTAAGGCTACGTTTATATGATGATGGCTCTGAACAGAAGACGCAAAAGTGGTGTCACGTCTTCATTTTTTATTCCGCGTTCAGACGAGCATTTACGGGAGGAAATCTGAGTGCATCGATTGGGTATGCATGCCAGGCAGCTAGGTGGTGACACTAGGTGATGATGTATATATGACGTAATGTGCGTATAGTAGATCGTGAACGTGAGCAGATCTGACCAGAGTTTTGCGTCTTGGGCAGTGTAGACGGAAACTCTACGGTGGAGCATATTCAACTTTTCCACTCTGGAGGGTGGAATCAGATTTTTGCATTTTTAAGCCCCAAAAATGATGTCACCGTCTAAGCGAAAGGCACTTCAGATAAAATACTTTGTCCTTTTTACCTGCAAGTATTCTCGTGTAAACAGGCCCTAAAAGTAAAAGGTTAACTGCTAACTTGAAAACTACCACTACATGACATCACAAGGTGGAACAGAGCATTTTGAGCTTTGGAGATGTAGACTGTAATGCAGGATTTCTCAAACATGTGTGAATGAAACAAAACACAACTCCAGGTGTGTTTTTGATGAGGTAACAGCATTCTAACACGACTTAAAGCTCACAAGAATCCCTTTTGTATAATGAAGTACCTTTAAGAACACAAACATTTAACTATTTTCTCTTTCTTAGACTGAAAAAGGAGTCTGAAGACGCCCAGAAGATCAGCGCTCTCTCGAAAAGCTACAGCGCGGTGGGCAGCCTGAAGAGCCGATGGCAGAACTGGGCCTCGGAGCACACGGTCAACCAAAAACTCAACCCTTTCAGCGAATACTTTGACTACGACTACTCCATGTCTACGCGCCTGCAGAAGGGACAGGAGGGCTACGGGAGACCCAAAGAGGGGAGCAAGACTGCCGAACGGGCCAAACGCGCCGAGAAGCATATCCACAGGGAGATCGACGATATGTGTTTGATCATTCGGACGATGGCGGACCCTGATCCAGACGGGAGAACGCGAGTGACTTTCGGGGAGTTGTTTGAGCGATATGTTCGCATTTCGGATAAAGTTGTGGGGATTCTGATGAGGGCCAGGAAGCACGGGAAGCTGGAGTTTGAAGGGGAGATGTTTATGGCAGGGTAGAGATGATGGGGTGGTGATTACTCTGCTGGTGTGATGGTCACCAAGTCTAGAACGAAAGCTTGTTGTATTTTTTTATACACAGGGCAGCGGGAGTTCGGCTGGTTGAGCGCTCGTTGGCGGTGCAGTTCCAGCTCCCAGTGATAAACACTGTTGTTGTGTGACTGGGCAAGACACTAAACCCATCTGTGAATGCATTAGTGTTTCCTTGATATAAAGCGCTTTGAGTGCCTAAAGGAGGAAAAGCACATATAAAAATGTGTTTATTTATCAGTCTGGTCACCATGCCATCTAACCTGATTCATCAGCCGGTTTCACTTCGTGGAAACCGTCTGACCTCGCAGCATTAGGATTAGTTTGTTCGACAGAAGACGTGGATTGTTTTTTATTTAACCAATCATTGCTATTTGGTTGCAATAACATCTTTCCGCTTAATAAAATTCACCAAACATTTGCTTTGTTCCAGCTTTAAATCCTCAATCTTGGGAACACAAAATGTATGGCTTTGTCTACATCCATCTCGACCGCTTTGTTTACTGTTGTGCTGTTCTCTGTGCCATGAAAGTTTGTTTTCAGTGATGCATGTGTAACAAAGGTGCCTTTCAGGTGCCTCTTCAATTAAAATCGAGCTGTTCACTTCGCTCGTACCAAGGTCCCAACCACTGAAAAGAGTTTTATACAACCCTTTGGCTGTCCATGGATGTTTAAAGAATTAGTTATTTCTGTTTCAGTTGAAGCTACTCCCCCCTATGAGTAGTTCATTTGTTTACTCATTGCTGGTATATAACAGTTAAATGCTTTGCTCATGGATCCTGCAGAACTCCACGTTTTTCAATCCCCTGTGATTTTTTTTTTCCCTTTCTGTAAGCAGCCATATTTGTTTTGATATGGCCGGACCATGCGTGTCCCTGATTGGCTAATCCATCTGTCAATCACGTCCTTCTGAACTCGGGGACATTCATTGGTGGTCACTCACATAAACTATTTGAGAAGTGTGTATTTTGGATAGTAGGCAAACAGACTTCTGCTTCGTCAGTTCAACTGACATTAAACAAATGCTTTAATTCCTTTTTTTGAGGTTGGCTGTGGCATACACCTCATGGACTCAAACTTCAACACAGAAAATATAACACAAACAGTTTTTAATACATGCTACTGGGTTTTGTGTTTGCAAAAAGCTCTTTAGTCTTTTGAACATGCTGGCTGGCAATAAATGAAAGTAGAATATTGTAAAGATTGTATTTTTCTATAGGTTTGATGAAACTGAAATACTTTTAATAATAAAAATAATAATAATAATAAGTTGGGGTTTTATTAACTGCCACCCAGTCTTTAGATTTCTGCTTCTTTAGGCATTCATCTTTCCACTCCTTTGTGTTATGGGTTCATCTTTTTTCAGCTATGGGCCGTAGACAGGGCACACAATGCCAGTCAGTCTAATGTATTGTTAACTGTGTGAAATATTTCATATCTCTTACTGAAAGCTGCAGTATTGCCAGTTACTGGACAGGTGATAATCAGGTTTGGTTACATTGCTTCCATCAGCGTGAATTACGCCGATGGAAAACACCTCTGAAAGTTTGTTGTATAACTATTAATGAGATTATTTAAAAAGAGAGGAGCACAGGACAACAGATTAGTGCAGTGGTTGAATGAAGTAACTCAGCACCAAAACAACAGCAAAAGGTATTGTTTAATATAATTTGTATTTTAGTTATTTATTTTTACTTTTTAAATGTATATTGAATTTTCTTATTTCTTCTTATTATTAATGCATTATTAATTCTTAATTTTATTCTTAAATTCTTATTTCCAGGATGCATTCCTTTATTCTTGTCGCCTTGCTCGCGGGCTCTGCTCTGCTGGCTTCAGCTGCTGGTAACATTTTTATTTAATTTTGTTTTTTTCTAAAACGTAAGTGGTTAGGACAGACTAGAATGAATGGGTGCTTTTCAAAAAGAATTCATAATGAATAGTGGTCAACTCTCAGTGACCTAAACACATCATTGAAGTTCACAGGCAGCAGGAGCCAGTTTGATGTCAGGGAAGGCTTTAATAAACCGTTTGAAATACTAACACTGTTTTGCTGTGTTTCAGTGATCCCACCTTTCTCCTACAGTGACTATGCAGGGTCAAATTCAGGCATCCACTTCACTCTTGATGGAGAACCAGATCAGCGCCTCACCTCCATCCGGATTTGGGACAACAATGGGGCATATATAAACGGGTCAGTATTCTCTTTGTTTTCTGTGTTTCACTGGTGCTCTCATCACATCAGTCCCTAGCCTATGCATGTTTGAATAATAATAATAATAATAATAATAATAATAATAATAATAATAATAATAATTAATATTATTATTATTATTATTATTATTATTATTATTATTATTTGAAAGCTTGCTCAGGGCTAATCAGCTATGAGGCAACTAATGACTACTGTATTTTTTGGACTATAAATTACTCCGGAGTATAAGTCACACCAGTTAAAAAATGCGCAATGAAGAAGAAAAAAAACATATTAATCGTGCTTGGCTATAAGTCGCACTTTTTGGGGGAAATTTATTTTATAAAATCAGAAACCAGAAACTGACATTTCATCTTGAAAGACAAGTTATAGAATAGGGAACAGGCTGTTAACGTCACATATGAACAGTTCTTCTGATAAACTATAACATAAACAACAAAACAGAACGAGTTTACCAAACTCTCCATCTCACTCCAAATCATTAAATCCATTGAATTCTTCATCCTCGGGGTCACTTATGAGAAACTCTTCGACCTCCGGAGGTAAACGGGGCGCCGCTTCCTCTTCTTCTGTTGTCAGACTCAACATCAGTTCCAGTTACAATTATTCCGGTCTTTCTGAATCCCGACAGGATGGTTTCAGTTGTCTTCATGTTTGTTAACATTTTAAATTGTCAGTGTTACAGCAGTAATTGTGCAATCGACTGATGTGATACCAGACAGGACAGCAGCTCTTTCTCTTTCTTCTGCAGCCAACATGCACAGTAGAGCCAAGTGACAGTGATACAAGAGTAATAGGAGCAGCAGATACTGGTATCAAACTGGCACAAACCTAGAGCGCCCTCCCGTGGCTGTCAGTGTGAAAATTTTAACATGTAAGTCATACGGGAGTATAAGTCACAGGACCACCCAAACCATGAAAAAAAAAGTGCCACTTATAGTCTGAAAAAATATGGTACAAGAAATAACATTGTATTTAAAATGTGTTTCTGAAACTTTATAAACTTCTAAGTTACTAAGCAATTTTGCCAGGTTTTGGGGTTAAATTTATTTATTTATTTCTGATTTTAGTTTTTATGTCTTTGGACTAAAATGATCATTTTAGAGTTAATAGTATAGTTAATATTTGAATTTGTGGTTGAGCTCCACAGGGCACTGTAGGTGTAACAATGAACGGCAAACATTTGGGAATGACATTTTTTCAGAGTCTGAACTGTCATCTTCTTCGTCTCTTTTCAGAATACAGTTCAGCTTTGGTAAAATCTGGGGAGATCGGATTGGATATCCCAATGGCAGAATCCTGGAGATAGATTTGGACACTGATAACAATGAGGCCATTATCCAGATCTCAGGGAAGTACAGCCGCTATTTAAACTGGCTGGTGTTTGTGACCAACAAGGGGCGTTTCTTTTACGCTGGGACACCCTCAGGCATCAGCTTTAACATGTACCCAGGATATCCAGGGATGGAGCTCCGTGCCATCAGTGGGACCCTCCATGGAGCTTTGACTGGGATAGCTGTTCACTGGGCTATGCCCCCTCCCCCCTCCTCAGACAGTAACGAGCACTGAGCATGAGTTTAATGTATCTTAATGTTGTGTTATAATTATGCATGCACTGATCATCTGAATAGGACTCGTATTATGTGATTTTTCTTTCTGTAATCATGTTAGACTATTTTCTGATCTACATATGTTATGTTGTTTCCTGATCACGAACATATCTGGAGTTGTGTTTTGTTTCTTTCACACATGTTTACCACACAAACTCTGCATATTTAGGCTGAGTTCTTCTCTGTTCCACCTTGTGATGTCATGTAATACAGGAAGTCTCCACTGTGTTTTTAAACTCCATACACCTTCAATAGAATCATTTGGGTAAGTTCAGCCCTGGAATTGCCCAGCTCTACTAAACAAAAAGTAAAAGGTAAATGTTAACTTGAAATCTACCACTACATGACATCACAAGATGGAATAAAAAAAAAAACATTTTGAGGTTTCGAGATGCAGACAGACTAATAATAAAGGATTACTCAAACATGTAAATGACACAAAACACAAATCAAGGTGTGTTTTGGATGAGGTAACAGCATTGTAATTTGACTTAAAGCTTACAAGAGTTAATTTTGCATAACATAGAAACTGTATAATATAAATATAAACTCTATAATATTGCACGCATATTTTAGGAATCAGCTAAGGATTTTATTTGTTTTATTTGACTATTTTTGAGCCACATTAAGAAAGGCCAGAGCAGAAATCCAAACAGCAACTCTTTACATGCACACTGTCTCCTTCACAAAATGATTTCAACAATAAGAAATGATTTTTCAGTACTCACAATCGAAATGACAGAGAATTAACAAAATTACAGATTAAATTGAAAAGATTACAGAAGATGAAATAGGCTACACCATTGCAATACTTAGTAAATATTGACCCGTATACTCCCTGTAGCAGTTGTGAAATAGCTCGACCACATGTACAGTAAACAGATATTTCAGTTACTGTAACTTTATAGGGGGATTTTATTTCTGGTGGCCCAGGTGAAGCAGACCCCCATCACGACCATGAGGAGGGCGAGGACAGCCACACACACGATCACTCCCACCAGGGGGCGAGTGTAGTCTCCTTCTTCTTGTGATACTGAAAACCACAATCAGTATTTACTATGAGACAGTTTCACACTTTTATTGCTGAAGTTGCACAAACAGACCTTTATTCCCTGTTGGAGCGTTATCTGAAAAAATACAAATAAAAACTTTCAGAAACTGCATATGGTTTATCTTTATTTCCCTTCAATAGATTTTATTCCAGAAAGTGCTTAACCTCTTGAGACCCTGCGTCCTCATACGAGGACATCACATTTTTGTCTCTTAGCACCACGATACTCAATTTTTAAAAAACTCTGACCTGCCACACTGAGGGACACTGCCCGCAACATCATGTGGTGATATCACAACATTACACCAATTTCAGTGAAAGAAAAATGGTGGGAATATCAACAAAAATCTTCTACAGAAGCTCCCAACAGAAAAAAACAGCAAGGCAAAGTTTACATCCAAATGTTATGAATGAAACCAATGTATTTATGTACAATAATGTCTCTGTCTTCATATGGCATTAAAATTTGACCCATTTTAATAATCATAGCAGACTAGAGCATTGCTAAATGTCATGTCCTCGTTAGAGGACATCAGGACTATGTAATGTTATTGATTGTACAGTGGTGTTAGATAAACTTGGGAATATTTACATGAGTTTACTAGTGTTATAGTCAAGATCACACTAATCGAGACCAAGACCAGTCTGAGACCACAGAGTCCCAAGACTAGGACGAGAGCAAGAACTCTGAGGGTCGAGACAGAGAAAAGGCCGAGGCTTTTAAATTCTGAAACCGAGATAAGACCAAGACCACGCATCATCAAGACTGAGACAAGACCGAGTCCAAATATGCCCGTCCGAGACAAGACCGACACACCATAAAACAAGTAATGTCGAGGCTGGCCTAAAGACTACAACACTAGAATTTACAGTTGCAAATAGTTCATTTAAGTGGTATATTTGCTTAAGTAAAGTTTTACTATATTTAAAAAGTTTATAGGTGTAAACAGGCATGTCAGAAGGTGAAGAAAAAAGATTTTTTAACCAATGTTGTCTTTTTTTGTCATACTCGAAGATTGACCCATTGTCCTTGGAGAAATTTAAAAAAATGCACACCAGCCAAAAGCTCGGGTCTCAAGAGGTTAAAAGAACTTCAATATTGATTTAATTGATAGTAATAAAATGCTTCTGTTGTGTTTTAAAAGCATTATCAATTGCAATCTGTCTAACTCTGTGCTGCTTTCAGTGGTCTGTGCAATTTCAAGTAGTTGGTGACATCACAAAAGACTGCCCTGGTTACAGATCGGTCTTTCTGATAACAAACACTAGCTGTAGGGGGCGGAGTTTGAAGTGCAGAGACCTGTTTGACTGATCCCACTGTTCCTCATACCTCCAGACCGTGCCCCTCCTTTCCCCTCACTTTTGTCTTTTTTAGTCCTCCAAATACTGGCCAGTTTGTAGCTCTATTTGAAATGTAGATGTGACCAGTTTAGGTGTTTAGTTCCTCTTTAAAAGGCTCATGTTGGGCTATTTAACATTAAGTCAACTTGGGGCATAATAAATAGTGATATCTTTATCCACACTACTTTGTAAAGAAAAATATTGATTGAGTTTTGTGAATATTTTGCTAATGTGAGGTCCATCCATGCAGGTAATCCTTCTAAAGAGTTTGATGAAGATACAATTATTGACAATGTGAGTGAGCAGTATTTTTTCTGGACAAGGTGTCCAGTTCATTTGTTTACTCATTGCTATCGTGATGCTCACAGCTTAGTGATATAGAGCACTGATAAACTGTTGCCAGACTATTTGTGCTGTTATGGAAAAATAATGCACAGCAGACAGCATTCACTGATTTCTATAGTGAGCATTAGAATTCTTACTGACCATGGTATAACAGTTTAATGCTTTGCTCATGGATCCTGCAGAACTCCACGTTTTTCAATCCCCTGTGATTTTTTTTTTCCCTTTCTGTAAGCAGCCATATTTGTTTTGATATGGCCGGACCATGCGTGTCCCTGATTGGCTAATCCATCTGTCAATCACGTTCTTCTGAACTCGGGGACATTCATTGGTGGTCACTCACATAAACTATTTGAGAAGTGTGTATTTTGGATAGTAGGCAAACAGACTTCTGCTTCGTCAGTTCAACTGACATTAAACAAATGCTTTAATTCCTTTTTTTGAGGTTGGCTGTGGCATACACCTCATGGACTCAAACTTCAACACAGAAATATAACACAAACAGTTTTTAATACATGCTACTGGGTTTTGTGTTTGCAAAAAGCTCTTTAGTCTTTTGAAACATGCTGGCTGGCAATAAATGAAAGTAGAATATTGTAAAGATTGTATTTTTCTATAGGTTTGATGAAACTGAAATACTTTTAATAATAAAAAATAATAAAAATAATAAGTTGGGGTTTTATTAACTGCCACCCAGTCTTTAGATTTCTGCTTCTTTAGGCATTCATCTTTCCACTCGTTTGTGTTATGGGTTCATCTTTTTTCAGCTATGGGCCGTAGACAGGGCACACAATGCCAGTCAGTCTAATGTATTGTCTTCACATAAGCAGATTCCCTGTGTGACGGAGCGCCTGTGTTGCCCCGTCATCTCCCGACTGGCGCGTCTGCATCTGGTCAAAGAGCGCGCACGACGCTTCCTTCCCTCCCCGTTTTGCGGAGCTAAGCTCCGATAGACAGGTTTATGCAGGACCGCTCGTGTGTCTCGCGGTCCTGTTTTTCCCCAACATCTGAACGGTTTTCCCGGCTAGTGCGTTCGAGGGTGCACACTCGACGCCGACGCTGCTTCCCTACCTGCGGCAGCCTCCGCGCCGTTCTTGAGTTTAGGGCCAAACCGAGGCACTTCCTGGTTGTGCTTTAAATAGCGCATAGTGGCGCGCTCAAGGGGGGCCATGTGATCGTGGACTCGACCATTGTGGTCTATTTGGGGTCATTTGTGGGTTTTTGAAGTTGTTTAATGGAACTTATGTTAACCTTATGAGGGGTTCTTTAAGTTATTTTTATTATGTTTATTTCCAAGTTGATTTGTGTTCCTCAATACAATTTTGCTTATGTTAATTCCTTAAAAACCCCATTTTCATTAATTGGTTAGCCCGGGGGGAGGGGCTAAGGGGGTATAAAAAGGAGGGAGCGCCAGTCATTTGGAGTGGGTATTTGGCCTGACTACGTGGGTGCTGGCAACTGTAAGTGATTAGTGTACATATGTTTGTAAATACTTCTGTCTACCACCTCATTTTTTTTTTTGGTCACTGTAAATATTTCACTCTGCACTTGGAGCTGTGGTGCGAATAAAAACCCACTTAAGTGAAGTTTTTTGACTGAGCCATCATTTTTACATTTATTTCGGACGAAAACCCGTGACATTTGGTGGCAGTGGTGGGATGGCCAGTCGACGGAAGCGCACACAGCTCCCTGGAAGACGTGCAGGACTGCGCTTGCAAAAGCAGGAAAGGGCGCAGGAATTAGCAGTGGATGATGGAGCCTGGGCGACAGAGGAAGAAGACGAAGCGGGTGCTGCTGCTCCAGTCCCGCAGGCAGCATTAGGCCCAGGAGAGGAGTTGCTGACTGTCATGAGGACCTTCCTGGAGGGACAGCAGAGGAGAGAGGAGGGGTTTCTGGCAGAGCTCAGAGGTCTCCGGGCTTCGTTGCCAGCCCAACAACCAGAGCAGCTGGAGACTGAGCGGAGGCCAGCTGCACCTAGCTCTGCACCAGCCAGCACCGCGTCACCATCTGAGGGATCTACAATGAGTCTTAGGCTGGACCTACCCACACCAGCTCCTCGGCGTCGCTGCAGCTCGTCCATGAATGTGCCAAGGGCAAGTGCGAGCAGTGAAGAACATCCACGAGCGGAAAGCAGACTGTATGGGGACCCTAAGATCCCACAGTACCTGGCGGGAGAGGATATTGAGAACTACCTGCTGCGCTTTGAGCATATCGCCAGAACATGGGGTTGGCCGGAATGTGAGTGGGCATGTCGTTTGGTGCCTCTACTCACTGGAAAGGCGCTGGAGGCATATATGGCTATGGACGAGGAACGGGCACACTCCTACCCGGACCTGAAGGCAGCCCTCCTTACCAAGTTTGACGTCTCCCCAGAGACTTATCGGCAGCAGTTCCGGTCCATGGCAAACCCACCTGGAGAGAACTCAACAGAGACGTACCACCATTTAAAGGGGCTCTACCGACGATGGATCCGGCCAGAGCAGCACACTAAGGAGCAAATCGGGGAGCAGATTATCTTGGAGCAGCTGCTACGGGTCCTCCCGGCAGACATTCGCACCTGGGTGAAGGAGCACGAGCAACAGAGGGATTAGCTGCGGCCAAGCTAGCGCTGCAGTACCTCAATGCGCGGAGGGGAGGCCCAGCTGCCTACCCAGGGGGCCCTGGTCGGCAGCCTTCTCAACCCAGACCGGCAACCAGAGTCAACTCCCACCTGCCTGGAGATCCCAGCCCTGCACCCAGCCAACGTGGTCCCGGTAAGGAGCTTGTTTGTTTCTACTGTCAGCAGTCAGGTCATAAACCTTCCCTGTTCCCGATCAAAGAAGCTAAACTTAGCGGGGCATGTTATACCCCACGTGCTGAGGATGTCAGTGCTGGAGAGAGGCGGCAGTGTTACAAGGAGGTTACTATTAACGGTGAACCCGTGACAGCTCTGGTTGACTCTGGTAGCTTGTTAACCCTGGTCCGAAGGGACGTCGTGCCTACAAGCATCGTAGATTACAGCAGGCAGGAAACCATTTTGTGTGTACATGGTGACTGCCATTCCTACCCTACTGCTGATCTGACAGTGACTGTGGATGATCAACCGTATTTGTTGTCGGTGGGGGTGGTGGAGAAGTTACCAGTAGCTGCCATCCTGGGGTGGGATCTACCTGTGCTGATCGATGTGTTGCAGGAAGGGGGAGCTAAAGTCAGTGACTGTGGCAGGGGGTTTTTCGGGTCCTGTGATCACCCGTGCGCAGGCTAGGACAGGGGGACATCCCTCACAGGGCAGGAGCAGGGGTCCAGTCTCGAACCTTTTCTACCCTGGACAGTGAGTTGTTTGAAGGGGGCACAAATGGGCCTAGGAAGTCACGCCGCCAGCGCGCTTTGAAAAGGGACTAAACTCGAGGGAGCCAGACTTTAAGGCA